TGTGCCTGTTTCCCCAGCGTTAAGCAAGGGCCATGTGCTGGCTGTTTAAAGGGTGAGTCTCCCAAGAGCAAATTGTTCTTTGCAGATTTTTCACTCTTCCTGTTGTGGACACCAGCAAAGGTTGTGGTGAAACAATCTGGTTTTAATAACAGGGAGGGTAAAGGAGCAGATCATGGCGTGGGGAGCAGGTCCCTTGCCATGTGCTGCTGGCATTTTCTGTCCAAGGGAGGTTTTCTTCCAAAGGGGCTTGTCTCAACCCCTGGGAGAGCCTGAAGAGGGGGTGAAGCTGGAGAAGATGGGTTCCTGAACAGCTGGAAGTGCCTGAAAAGCTGTGTCAGACATCCCTCAGTTTTTGTTTCAAAGGGCTGATGCTTTGTCAGGGGAGCTGGAACTCGCAGTCAGGAGTGCTTTCACTGGCTGCTCTCCCCTCCTCTGCTCACCCAGTAGGTGTCTGCACGGATTGAGGCACAGGACTTGTCTGAACTCCCTTTACTATCTCTTATTATTCAGCAAGTTCCCAAGTGTCTGGTAAGCGTCTCTGTTTGGAGTGCCTCACTCAGACCCTTGCCAGTAATATCAGTGACTGCTCTAAATTCACATCAGGCATGTGCTCTGCCTCTTGTGACTAATGCACAATGTATTTCTTTAATTGATTACTGTTCTCTACTGACTCAGGCCAGAAAGGAGTCAGAGGAAAGGACTCAGTGAGGGGGTGATTTTTACTAAGACCTTGTTGAGTACAGATGAGGTCTAAAGGTATTTAACTGTTTGGTGGCTGTGGAAGCAAACTGAGGGCAGTTGGTAGGAATTTCTCTAAAGAAAAACTTTGGATTGAATCCCTCAGGCTGTCCTGGTCAGGCAGCAAACACAGGGACTTCTTATTTCTCTGTGTTATAAATCACTGTAACACAGTGCAAAGCTGGGAGTTTTCTGAAGAATCCTTAGGAATTCAGAATGTTATGTAACTTTTGTTGAGTTTGTATTTAGTTATTTGTTTCCTTCTCTGAAAATCACATTCTCTGGATAAAGCCTTGGCATGTTGAGCCACTGATCTGCACTCCTTGCCTTTGGGATTTAGAAGCAGCCCTGTAGTCCTGGCATGTAACAAATGCAGTTTGGAAGTGCAGGCTTGTGAGAGAGCCCAGATTAATGGAAGAAAAACTGATGAGTGGAGTCAATAGCTCTGTAGAAGGAAAAAAGTGGAAGCCTGCAGATACCTGTGAGCTGGCTCTAGCCAGAGGAGCAGCATGGGGATTTGGGAATCTCTCTGGAATGGTTAAAAAGTTAAAGCTGTTAAAAAGTCACCATAACTCTGAGTGTACAAACTCAAGGCCAGCCTGGAGGCGTGCTGCAGACTCAGATATTCATTCTGTTTTTCTAAGAGAACCAAACAGTCCCTTTTTCTGCTCCTGACTGTTGCAGGCATCACAACAGGATCCGCAGCATTGAGGGCAGTGAGCTGCAGCCCTACGTTACCCTGGAAACGCTGGACCTGAGCTTCAATGACATCACGGAAATCCGAAACGGCTGCTTCCCACAGGGACTGCTCATCAAGGAGCTGTGAGTTCTGCTGGCTGGGAACAGCTTTTGTGGAGTTACCACAGCACAGGAAAGGGCCTCAAACCTTCAGAAAAAGGAGCCATGAACATAAGAAGTATGGGATTATTTGTCAGGATTTTAAGTGCAAGGGAGAGTTAGAAGGCAGCACGTTGTCACTGTTGTCAGGTTATTTTTTGAGTGGTGTTTGGTTTCTGATGTAGCTATAAAGAATGCAGATTATTATTAATTGTGTTGTAAAGAAAAGGTATCTTTCAGCTACCCTACATCCTTCATGTGTAGGTGTCTCTATAAAGAATACAGATTATTATTAATTGTGTTGAAGAGAAGAGGTATCTTATCTTTAAGGTATCCTGCATCCTTCATGTGTAGGTGTCTTTGCAACTGCAAACCCATGTGCATCTAAAAGAGTGGAGAGAGAACAACCATTTAATCATCAAAGTGGCTTTCTGAATATTGAGAACAGACATGTCTCTGATTATTTGGAGAAAATGGGGTCAAGCAGAGTAACACACTCCCACAGGATGTTGCTATTCAGAGAAATATGAAATAATCTGTATTTTAGATACCTTTGAAGAGGTGCAGGCAAGTAGTCTGCCTGCATTAAAGTTTACACCCAAGTTTGTGTTCCTGGTTGCAAGAGGGTATAAGAGAGTGGTGTTGTGACTGATGTCCTGCAGAAACAGCCCCCTGTGGCTCAGACCAGCATCCAAATAAAAAAGACCTCTGGGACTGCTGCTGAGGGGAAAATGGGGAATGAATAGCATCATCCTGCCCTGGAATAGTCCCAGTTTCTGGCTTCCACTCCTGATTGCCTTGTTCAAGTAGGAGGATGTCAGGGAGCTCTTTGGAAGTGCCCAGCAATTCTCCACATCCATCACAGGCTCTGGGAAAGGCCATTTGTGCAGCCAGAAATTCAGCTGGTTTTGAAGCCACCTCTGTAGTTTCACCAGCTTGTCTGGAGACCAACTAAATGCTGACAAAAGGTAATTTCTGACAGAAGCATTCATTTTTCTGCTGTGATTTATTGCAGCTACCTGGGGAGCAACAGAATCAGCACCCTGGAGCCCGGTGCCTTTGACAGCCTGTCCCGGACCCTGCTGACACTCAGGCTGAGTAAAAACAGGATCACTCAGCTTCCTGTCAAGGCCTTCAGGCTGCCCAGGCTAATTCAGCTGTGAGTACAAATGGCCAGTTTAATTAAGCTCAGCCACACTTCATGGAGATAAAATGATCCTGGGGGTGTGCACAGCAAATGTCACCCATCCTCACCTACTGTGTATGAAATGGAGAATTCACTGTGCAGGAGTTCTCTGCCAGCTCCTAGGAAGACACACTGGGAGAGGGTTTTGTCTTGTAACTCTTGGCTTTTCAGGTCATTATTTGGATCAGGTGGGGAGGGAGGGAGGAATGCTGCAACAGGTATCAGCATCTTTTGCACTTGACAAAGTGAGACAAATCCATTCCCTTGCAAGCTGCTGGTGTCTGTGGTGCAAGACAGGTTTGCAAGATGTTTCCATTGAGAGGGACAGAACTCAGCTGCTGTGTTAGTGTTTCAGGGCCACACAGGTATCTTTATGTGCCAATAAAAAAGCAATGAGGGAAGGTTGTTAAACTGTGAGGTGATATTTGGGCAGAGAAAATTGCAGCTCAGATGAGTTAACACACACATGGTTGTTGTTCTGCCTGCGTGGGGACACACAGACATCTGCAGCTATAAACATGCTTTATGTGTAAAAAAGTGGCCACTTAATGGCACTTTTCTCTTCTGCTGCTGTTGTAGAAATGGGCCCAGCCTAAGGCTCCTTGCAATCTTTCCATCAAATTTGAAAGACAAAAGGTCCACCTCTGTCTGTTAACATAAAGTCCGCAAATGCTGTTGGAACTTGCACCTCTAAGTGTCAACCTCTTGACTGAGAGAGAAATCCTGAAGCCAGGGTGTGCCCAAGGAGAGTGTGTGCATTTGTGTCTGCATACATGCAGGATTTACAGCCAGTTTGGGATGGGATGGGGCACACAGTAGGAAAAGTCTGCTGCCTCTCAGCTGGAAGTTGCTGTCCATTGAGCGAGGGCTTCTAATTCACTGTGTTTGACTGCATCATGTGTAGAACTGTAATGAAAACAACTCAGTCTGTTTAGGAACATGGTTTGCACTGAGAGATGGAGTAATTGGTGCTCTTAATGACTGCCTCAGAGCTGGTTGTTTAACTCTGCAGATAAACATGAATGAATTGCAAGTTACCCAGATTGGTGTGTTGTAGGATTTGTGTACAGTTCTTTTTCTGGCAAAGCCTGTTTCACTAATAGCCCAGGAAGTGCAGTACCACAAGGTACTTTAGGCCTGCAAAATCTTTATTGCTTACTTGACTTTAATTATTCTCAACTTGAGCCCAAGTTCAACATTGTTTTTTTAGGCAGTTGAAAAGTAAGCTTAAAGTCTCTATGGCTTCTTCATCTTTTCCAAAACAAGTTTGGATGTTGTAACCTCCACCATTTTCCTCAACACAAACACTGAATAGGGAACTATCCTCAGCTTAATCTTGTATGTGTGGGAAAAGTATCAGTTTTAAAAGCTTTAGCTTCAGCTTTTAGTGCATTGTGTTGAAGTTCTCCACTGACTTAACAGAACTGGATTTTCACCTGGTATGTCTGGGTCACGCAATCCATAAGACTGATGTAGGTTGGTAAAGAGTGCTGTGATGATGTTCATATTGCTATTCAGAAAAAAGATACTGCCAAAATTTAGGGGTCCTTCCCCACCCAGGGAAACTCAAACGAAATTTAATGAACCAGGCTGGAAACTATTGTATACACAAATATTAAGACTGCATTGTTATTGGAAACACTTTCACTCTTTATTAGTTTCTGATAGTAGAAAAAAAAAAAAAGTGACATTTTTCAGGGGGACTGAAGGCTTTCCTTTCAGACTTGGCCATAAAGTTTCCTCTTGTGCCCACAGTTTTGGGGCACCTGCATGTTTCAGAGCACATTTTTACTGGGCAATTAGAAGTCCTATAAAAACAATAGATTGTAAAGGAAATAATGCCAGTGTTTTGGTTCAAATGGTGTCTGTGCTTGAGGGAGGATGGAGAGTGGGAATTGATGAGAAGGCTCAATGGTTGAAAAGAAATGCAGAGAGAGGAGGGATGAAGAAGAATTGCTGCACTGTGTAATTTCTCTGTGGTGAAAGCCTGTCCCAGGGTGAGTTTGTTTAGGAGATCACACCCAGCTGCCTTCCCTGGATAGCTCTGGGATTGAAGGTTTCCGGTGCTGTTCTGCTGTCTCCTGGGAACCACTGACACAGGAGCTGTTGGCATTGCTGCCCCCATTGTGTGCTGCACACATGACTGGGTGAGAAAGGGCTGGGCTTTAACCAACTTGTATGGCCTTGGTGATTTCAGGGAGCTGAACCGCAATCGCCTCCGCCTGATTGAAGGGCTGACGTTCCAGGGGCTGGACAGCCTGGAAGTGCTGAAACTGCAGCGCAACAACATCAGCAAACTGACTGATGGGGCCTTCTGGGGCCTGGCCAAAATGCAAGTTCTGTAAGTTGGTGCTGTCACATCCTTCTCTGTATTTTAGCAATGACCCGTGCTGCTTCTTGTGCTCCTTTCTCTGTCCTGCACGCCCAGAGCTGCTGCAGTGGCATTGCCACTTCTCTCTTCACAGAGAAAAGCAAGGCGTAATTTTTCTCAAGAATATTTCTGAGATTCACATTCTCTGAACCTCAGAGAAAGAAAACGCAATTCTTATTTTATTTGCTGTGCCTGTGTTTGTGTAAAAGTAGAATGCAATATGGAGATTTTTTATCTAAAGTAATGGTGGTTTATTTACGAGCATGTGTGTGTCGGGACTGTCAGCTGACAGTCACAAGATTCCCTACAGTTGTGTGCAGAGTTGAGTGCTTGGCAGCAATGTAAAATAGTGTAATATAGTATAGAATGATATAGTGTAATAAAGTAATTAATTAGCCTTCTGATAAGATGGAGTCAGATACATCATTCTCCCCCCTCGTTGGGGTGCCTACAAATTCAATACAGCAGCTTCTCTTTAGCTGACCCACAGTTTGCAAAAGCTCACTGCTTCAGCAGGTGTTCAATAAAAACAGCACTGTTTTTTAAGCTGTGGCACTATTCCTTTGAAAGTTTGACAGTTTGAATGTTCAGCATTTATCTCAATTGGTCTTTAAATATCTGGCTTCTGCAAATTTGTTTTGGCTGATAAATGGAAACTCTTTGCTGCAGACAGCATCATTCCACCTCATGGGATACCTAGAAACCAAGCTGGCCATTCTTGGTGATTCTTTCTTTCCATCCCAGAAAATAAATTGATTAGTCATTGCAGAGAAATAGCTGAAGCTTCCAGCACCCTTGGCTTCCAGGTGTGTTTGTGAGGTCCCAGGTGGTGAAGGCAGCAGGTTTCTGGGTGCTGCTGTCACACAACTGAGACTCTGCAAATACAAACTTGAATGGGATGCTTTAAGCCCAGTTTACTTGCAGTGGAGCTTCTCTCTGCAGTCACATCTCCTTGTGGGTATTTCCTTTGTGTTGTCCTTGAATTTCTATCTTCGTTTGACAAGAAATGCCCACACATGCATGTGTCCACCTAGGTATGTGGAAAGGTGTGTAGGAATGGCTAAAATCCCAGTTCTTTTTGGAAATGCTTCCAGCATTTGACCAGTGCTGCTTATCTGTCAAAATTCCTTCTGGTTTTTCTCCACAGGCACCTGGAATACAACAGCCTGACAGAAGTGAACAGTGGCTCTCTCTATGGCCTTTCCTCTCTGCACCAGCTCCACCTCAGCAACAACTCCATATCCCGCATCAACCCCGATGGCTGGAGCTTCTGCCAGAAGCTGCATGAGCTGTGAGTTGGTTTCTGTGGTGTTGTGTAATGCTGGCAGGAGAGGGGGGAGTAAGGAATTTTCTCAAGACTTAGAGCTCCCACTCTATCAATCTGTAGAAATGCAGGAACTGCAGGCTCCTAAGTGATGCCCTTGTTATTTATGATGTTATGACCTTCAGAGCACCTGGTTAAAACACATTTGTACCAGAAACAAAGGCTAGAACCCACTAAAAGTGCACAGTGCCAAAAGACCTGGAGAGTTTGTGAGCTGTGGCTTGCCAATGTTTTTAGCTAGTGAGTTACAAGACTTGTAACTTGCCATATAATAACTGTACAGCCTGAAGGAAGCTTTGCTTTATCCTCTGTATTTACAAAGAACAACCATGCTTTCAACCAGCAGAGATTTGGCCCTTTCAAGGCAGTTCTCCTTGTTTCTCCTGTTTACACTTTATCCTTCCTGTGGGGTTCAGTTGTTGAAAAGTAAATACATGGGCTTTGCTCTCCTGAGGTGCTGGGGATGCAGCCTGGCAAATGAAGGGCAGCCCCACAAGGGTGTCTTTTGGATCTGTGGCACTGCTTAATGCCTTTTTGAAGAGCCAACAGGGATGCTGGCAGTATTTACAGAAGGTGCTGCCATCCCCTCGTGGGACTGTGCAAAGCTTTGCTTTTTACTTTGGTCAACTTGACACTTGGTCAGTGTAGCTGGAATTCATTGTGCTTGGTGCAGGAAATGCTAAACATTGTCAGGGAGTCTCCTATCCACCAAAAAGCAGCTTCCTGCTGCCAGAGGCCTCACTCTGCTCTCACACTGGAGGTTGGTATCTGCCCACCCAGCTGTGAGTCCTGAACCTTTGGGCTGTGGGCTCAGAGATGGATACACATGACACATGTAATTTCTTTATGTTAAGAATTAACATGCTAGCCCTGTGGTTTTCTCTTGAACCCAAATTATTTGTTCAGATGGTGGTTATTCTTTGGGGGTGCAAGGAAGTACTTTATTTTTTGTTTTAATTAAATACACACGTGATTGTTGAATTACCTAATTTTTCAAATTGCTGCAGAACTGCCCATGCCTTGCACAATTCAGATCCTCACATGATATTTTGCTAGATTAAGGCAGTGTTAATGGAGAGATCTTCAAGGCAGCAGATCAGAATTGGAACTGTGCTCTGCCTTTGGTCTGTTAAAATCTGAAGCATCAAAAAAAGGGGACATCAAGGCACTCACAGCTGAATCCTTGGAACAGCCAAATGCAGATCACTGCACTGCATAGAACCAAATATTTGGTGCCTGTGCTGAGCTTTATTCCAGCCTGGGTTGGATGGGGTGGGTCAGGCCCCCTGCACTTCCCAGGGCTAATGGCAGAACTCTTTTAGGGAGAGCTGAGCTTGTCTTCTCTATATGACTCTGTCTTGCAAACCCTCAAGGTTTAGTTTGGAGGTTGCTTGTCATGCTGAGTCCTTTTTCTCAGGTATGGATTAGGATCTCATCCAACAAGCAGTTCTAATGGTGAGCTGTCCTGTCTTAGAAGCAGTAATTGCAGAAGCTGGGGTGCAGGATGGGGTAGGTTTGGAAGATGCCTGGTGGTGTGAGGTGGTGTGAGGCACTGGGGTGTGCCTGGCCTGACAGGCAGGATTGTGCTGCAGTTTGAGGCCACGGCTGAGATGGGGAAAGTGATTGTGTGGGAGTTAGCACAGCCCTGCAAAGTCCTGCAGGCTCTCTCAGGTGCTGCCTTCAGGGTAAAGCTGCTGCAGGGAGCCATCAGATATCAAACTGAAACTCCTGTAGGAGAGGTCTGTGCTGAAATGCCAGGGTGAGGAAAGGAAGCCATGGGCACATCCAGACTGACTCGTGCACTTTGTTGGTGGTTTCATTCCTGATTGAAAGATCCTTGCTCACCTCCCCTGTTGCTAAATCTGCTGGGTTTCAGTTACCTGAAAACACTGTGGCTGTACAGGGAATGAATTTCAGTCTTCTAAGGAGGGAGTTGATCATCTGAAGGAGGAGTTATCTCATTCAGTTGCTGGGACAAAATGTGAACCCAAGGCTCTGGGCTGATGTAAGAGCTGACAAGGAAAGAAAGGTCTTGCCTTGTTCTGAGCATGAGAAAGGGCTGATTGTATTCACCAGTCAGGTGCTGGAGCATCAGCATCATGGAAAAACCACAGTGGGAGCAGAGGATTTCATCAGAGGTAAATGGTGACTTGGCTGCTGGGTCTTTCCTTTCCTTTTTACCTGTAGCTTGGTCAGGGGGAGTGAAGTGTGTTAGAGGTACCTGATCCAGAACAGGCTGGCAGCAGCAGCTCCAGTTGCACAACAGGGTTCTGGTTAACCCCATTCTGCACCAATTTTGGCATGGTGCTCAAAATCTGCTTCTCACCAGGCTGGAAGGGCTGTGTAGACAAACGTTGCCATTGATTCATGCCAGTGATTTCTCAGTGGTAGAGATGCCAAGCTTGGTGAAGCAGCAGAGATCTTCCCTCAACCAGATCACCCACACTGCTGAGCTGAGGGGGGAAACCTGATGTTTTGCAAATTGGGCCTGGGGCAGGAAGCAGAGCCCTGGCAAGCTGAAGAAGCCACTGCCAGGTGCAATAGCTCCTGAAACTTTGCATGTGTGACACCATTGAGAGTCACCACCTCCTGCTGCTGTCTGTCCATCTTGGGGTGACATCCAAACAAACAGGGGGAACATGCCTTCACCAGTTGTGGCAGGAACCCCTGTGTGTGGAATCAAAAGGAACTATTTATTTTCTCAGCCAGGTTTAGGATTACTTTTGAACAACTTTTTTTTTTAAGCCAAATTCTTTAATAGCAGGTGAGGACATAATTTTGACCAGATGCCAGTTCTTCATAACTAACACTATAGCTTCTTTAGGAGTGAAAGTATGTTGTCCCATACCTTCAAACTCATTAATCTTTGCTGAATTTTTTAAAAGAGCTTGCCCTCTGCCCACACAGCTAAAAGATAGCCCCTTTGCCAAGTAAATGACACTCTCAGTGCTCTGGAGTATGTGTCTGTTTGGACTTTGGTTTTGGCTTTGCAGTGAATTTCATGCAAGCCCTAGACACATTTTTAAGCAGACTCATTAACAGGCAGTGCTAGAAGAGGAATTTGGAGGTTTGGAACTCCGTGATTTTTTTTTTCTTGTCTGTACAGTGAAGAATTTCAGTGCTTGCTAAAGCTGTTTCACTTTTTCAAAAGTTGAGCAGCCCAAACCCTCACATCTTTTGAAGTGAGTGGCACTCCCAGGTCACCAAGGAGGTGGTTTTGAAAATCTGGTGCCTGCTGCTATTCTCATTTGAGAATCCAGGCTGGCCTTCCACAATAAAGCAGGGCTTTATTCTGGATAGAAGGTGGTTGCACAGTGTGTGGGGTGGCTGCAGCAGATCCCAAGGCTTGCCCTCAGTGTCACATCTCCAAAGCCTCATCCACACCTTGCTGGGAGAGAAAAGCAGCTGCCTTCCTGCCAGCTTCCAAACTGCAACAGGAGCAGTGCTGGAAAAAAACCTCCCAGACCAGAGATAATGCAGGCAAGGGGAAGAGATAGGTGGAAAACTAAGGAAAAAAAACCAACCCCAACCCTCCAATAGCCTCTTGTAAGTGGAGAGGATTTAAGGCAAACTGTGCTCCTTGACAAAGGGGAGTGGGAGGAAGGAAAGGTGGCTGGTTTACAGCAGACACCTCCTTTCTGTGGGTGAAAGGAAGCATTCAATTGCCTTGTGGTGAAATGCTTTTGGCTCTGCACTGGGGTGGAGCCCAGGCACCCACACCCAGAGCCTGGGGCTGGCTGTGCACCAGTGCAGAATGATAAGGCACCTCCTGAGCACAGCAGCCTGCACCCTGCCAAGAGGCTGTGTGAGCTCCAGAATCCATCAGTGTGACATCACTCTGCACCTCACAGGGCGTGGGCAGCAGGGCCTGCTGCTCCTGTGAGCCTCAGAGGGAGAGGGGATTGAGCACAGCCAAGGCTCCCAGACCCTCACCCAGCTGCAGGGGAGCTCTCCCTGCTGGAGCTGACAGAGTCTGTGTGCTGGGCTGCTGCTCTCAGTCACTCCTGGGGCAGCCTCTCTCTGTAGCCTGCACAGAAAATTGCCCCAGAGCTGGTACCAGCTGCCTCCTGCTCCTTGGTGTCCCCCTTGGGTGTTTTGGGGCAATACCTGCAATCAATCCTATTTCCTCACACCCCCAGTGCATCACCTCGTGTCAGGTGGCTCTGGGAGTCAGGCACTGCTTGGCACAGAGCAGTTTGGAAAATACCAGATGGATTGACAAGAGCTGTTTGTTGCATTTTTTTTTTTTCCCTTCAGGATTCTCTCCTACAACAACCTGACCAGGCTGGATGAGGGAAGCCTGGCAGACCTTGGGGGGCTGCACGTGCTGAGGCTGAGCCACAATTCCATCAACCACATTGCAGAAGGTGCTTTCAGGGGACTCAAAAACCTCCGTGTCCTGTAAGTTGCTCTCAGCTTTTGTCAGTCCACACCCATGTTCCCTCCCTCCACAGTTTGTGTTCTGCCACATGGTTCTGCTTTGAAGATGCTTTGGGTGCCCATGTCTGGCAGTTTCAGGTTCCTGAAGCCACCTCAGCTGACCAAAAATCCCTGAGGTCTCATTCCTGCAGCTAATAGCAGTATTTCTCCTGCTATCACATTGATTTTAATTGAAACTCTTAGAAAAGCTTGGTTTCTTTTGGGTCATTCTGCGCTCAGAAGGAGCAGGGAATGATTCCTTCTACTGACAACACTGGAAATTTGAATATCCTCTTAAATGTGCTATTGATCACTTCTGTGTTGTTTCTTTTTTAAAAAAGAAACCTGAATATTAATATAAAACTGTGAATAAATATAAAATTATTATTGTAAGATGATGTTAAGAAAAAAAGCAATTGGAAAACAAAGAAATGTAGAGGTTGGGCTTAGCATCTGACTGTACCAGAAGTGTAACAACACATGAAGCTTCACCCAGCCTTAAGTCCAGTCATAGAAATAAGAAGCTTTTGCAGGTAACATGCAAGTAAACAGAAGTTTTTAATTCAGTTTGGCCCATGAAACATTCTGTGCTATGATTTTCGTGGGAAACCCTGAAAAACCAAAAAGTTGCCAAGGGCAAAGTTTCATGTGCCCTAGTACTGAATTGCAGAAGTGATCCATCCAGTGCTGGCTGGGGCCATTTACCACAGACTTTTATTTTAAAACCACTGACACAATAAAATACCTGGAAATATGACACTGGAAATGAGGTTGCCTAGTCCAACTAGCAGCTTGGAAGGTTTTGGGAGCAGTAGAGCCCATGAGAGATCAGTGTGGCCTCTGTGGGGTGCAGTTGTGTTGTGTTTGTGGGACCCCCGAGGAGGGAAGGAAGGAAGGAATGATTAATCTGATTCCATGTTCTTAGAAGGCTAGTTTATTATTTTATGATCTATATTATATTAAAGAATACTTTACTAAACTGTACTAAAGAATAGAGAAAGGATATAGACAGGAGGTTAAAAAGATACTAATGAAAACTTGTGACTCTCTCCTCATGGTCCAACACAGCTTGGCCCCAATTGGCCATTGAGTCAAAACAATTCACAGCAGAAACCAATGAAACAGTCACCTGTGGGTAAACAATGTCTAAACACATTCTAAAACAGCAAAACACAGCAAAGCAAATCAGATAGTTACTGTTTTCCTTTTCCTCTGAGGCTTCTCAGCTTCCCAGGAGAAGAATCCTGAGCAAAGGGATTTTTTCAGAGAATGTGACTGTGACAGGGCTGTAGCATTGTACCATTGCACACCCAGAGCTGTGTGAGACTGAAGCACATCTGGGCTTGCCTGGTGAGCATCAGAAGATGGGGGATGCAGTTCCATGGCTGCAGCCCTGTTCTGTCTCCTCTTGCTCTCTCTGGGAGCTGCAGGCCCAGCACCTTCATCTGGCTCACCACAGAGTTCTCACAGCCCCTGTGACAGCACCAGACACGTTCCCAGGCTGCTTGGGTTCAGCAAACTGATTTAGTTCTTCCTTGCAAAGAAAAAAAACACACTTTGATACTTTTATTCCTCTTGAGAAGCCCATTGTGGCCTGAGTCATTAAAAGGAAATGGGAACAGAAAAATGTCCCCTCTCTACAGTACTTTTTGCATCTTACTCTTTTCTTTATTGAAGTTCATAGTGAAGGAAGTGACTGGAAAGTGAGTTTGGGTTTTGTTTGCTTTTTTTAAAGTTAAGCCAAAGCCTTTCAGGCCCTGGGCATTGAGAACGGGCCCACTCTGAGGCAGCTGTCAAGACCGGAACTAAAGGTTTCCAAAGAAAAATGGAGGGGAAGGGAAGCTGCTCCTTCTCTTTGCTCTGCGCTGAATGTGGAGCCTCTTTTATGTCCAGGGCAGAGGGGGGGAGGTGGAGAGGGAGTGTGTGAGCGAACTCTAATTTAATAAAGAGCAAGGCCTATTGGGTCCTGCACCTGGTGAAAAAGAGCTGAGCATGCTTTAATTATGGGCTATTGTTGGGGAGCCTTTGGTGGGTGTGAAACTGCTGAAATGTGGAGCTATTCAAATAGAGGTCAGGCCCGGAGACCTCTGAGCACAATGATTAACAAGGCTGCGAGCATTCAAGCTCAGCCAGCCAGAAAGAATAGGAAATTGGCAACAGGGGCTGGGAGAGGAGTTGGGATACAAAGAGAGCTGGGCCAAAATACCCCACTCTTTTTTTCTCCCTCTCTCTATTTTCACTCATTTGTTAAAAAGGTTTTTTATTCCTCCTTTCTAACACTAAACCTTTGAGTTGCCACTGGGTGAACAAGCAATACCATTTTCTTTCCCTTTTTCAAGAAAGCACAATGTGTGGCAGTCAATTAATAAAAGTGTGTGTCAGAGCTCCTACAGGCTGTTCCCACTTGTCTGTCTGTGCCATGGGAAAGGCTTTGCTGCTCCAAAGACCAGTAGCCCGTGGTGAAACTGAAGAGGAGAAATGTCTGAGAAGGGATTTTCCCTTAAAAAACAAACAGAACAAGGGACATGGGCTTGGCAAACCTAGGGAAAATGTAGAAACTGAGCTCCAGGAGGATGGATTTGCTCCTGTCCCACTAGGATGGTGCTGGAAATGCCAGCACATCAAAGCATTCTCCTGGACTCATCTCTTTGGCCACCAGAGCATCCTGTGTGCCCACAGCCCACGGGGATACGGAGTTTTTGTCCATGCCTTTGGCACAGAGCAGCCCCACAGATCACCCTGACATCCACAGTGATGCTGGCTAAGGCCAGGGCTCTCCAGGGATGTGAGATTCAGGTCTCAGGCTTAAGCCAGCTGAGAAACAGGAATTGTGGCTTTTGGCCATCTCCCTTCACATCTTTAGTTCACCCTAAAGCAGAGAAAGGAGCAAAGACTGAGCCAGCTGAGGGAAAACATTCCCATATTGAAACTGGGCTTTCTCTTAAATTTGTTTTCCCTTCCTGTGGGTTACTGTGTATTTGTGCTGTCCAGAAGCCACACTGTGTTGCCTGTGTCTGGAGTGTTGCAAAATGCAGGGGGACTTGGTTTTTCTTTATTTGGTCTTAATATTTTTTTATCTGGAAACGTTCTGATAATCATCTTCAAAAGGCGTGAAAGGAGTACCTGAGGGCTCAGGGGTTATCTGGATGGCGAAGTTTGCTTTGGTGCTGTGTTTTGCCAGGTTTTAAATCAGAGTGATGTAACAAAACCAACAAAGCCTATTTAGTGTTTCTTTCTTTTTACTTAACATTGGAAATGATGAATTTCTGTCTGTGTTGCTGGGTATTCATTGCTAGCTGGATTTAAAAGCTGGGAGGGAAGGATTTCTAAACAGTCTGTTTAAACAGCTTTTGTGGATCTCTCTGTTTGTTCTCTTTGCTTGTTTTTCTTTAGACCTCTTTGACTCTTGTAATTGATGGTCAATTTGAAAGCCAAAAGAAGCTAACTCTGAAAAAGGAATTCTCTTGGGTTTTTTTTTCAAATGGTTATACAGAGTTAGGCTGGTGTAGTGATGCTGGCACTCCCCTTTGTTGAGTTTTCAAGTTCATTGCCAGAAAAAATGCAGCTTTGTAGAAAATACACCAAATCATCTTCCTAAGATTCAGCTATGGGCAGATATATACACTGGCATACCCAAAGTGATCTTATTTCATGGTAGTAGCATTTAAGGACAGCTGTTTGTTTCAGTTTAATTTTGGCACTTTATTTTCACTTTCCTCCTCTTTGGATGTGCTGAACTAGAAAAGGACAGAAACCCGCTTGGTAAAAAGTAGCTGTCTCAGAGGATTTCAGCTAGGAGTGAGCCAGAGCTCTGGAATGCACCATTCCAAGGCAGGAGAAGTGATTGGTGCTGCTTTGCTGCAGGACTCTGCATTTTCTGATAGCTGTCAGGAGAAAATGGGAGGCTCTCATGTGGCTCAGTATTTTTAATATAATATAGATCATAAAATAATAAATTAGCCTTCTAAGAACATAGCTTCCTCCACTTGCTTGTAACAGTGGCATTGGGACCCAGGTGCTGATTCTGAGCTCTCTCTTGTGTTCTCCCCAGGGAACTGGACCACAACGACATCTCAGGCACAATAGAAGATACCAATGGAGCCTTTACAGGCCTGGAAAACCTGAGCAAGCTGTGAGTATCCCTGGGCTTGGATTCTGCAAGCCAGTTTTGTTGTGTGCCTGTGTGGGGTTGGGTCTGTCCCTTTTTATGCAGCCTGCCTCACCTTGGAACAAGACAAAAATCAGCAGAAAATCTGAGCTGTGGTAGTTTTGCAGGCTCACTGCAAGGGTGCAAATGTGGTTTTTAAGCAGGTATGAGGCAATTATTTCCTTTCAAAATGGTGAGCAGACAGTGCCACACACTGCAGTTCAGACACAGAGAGGAATTTGAGCTGTTTTCACGTATAAAACTCAGCACAACCATTCCTCACTTCTAAAAGAAACAAGCAACAAAACCGACCCCTCGCAGTGTGCAGCGAGGCACTGATTGATGCAGCAAATAACAATAAACAGAAGAGAAAAATCTCCCCACTTCCTGCTACAGCAGAGGATTGAAACAGGATTCCTTTCTGTGGGATGCTCTTTCTGAGAGTGATCTTTTGGGCTCGGTTCCATGTGCAGTGACAATAAAAGGCACCATGGGGCACAGGCTCTTGAAGAGATAAAAAGGCTCCCGAGGCAAGCATGCGCCTTGCGAGTGTTTATGGCTTGCTTGGCCTTGGCCAGGATTTTCACATTGCTCTCTGCAATCCCTGTCCCATCTGAAGCAGGGGGATATAAATCAGCCCTGTCAGAGGAGCCTCTGATGGCTTGTGACAAATCAAGAGTCTCTCTCTAATCATTACCTCTTGCCTTTGTTGAAGTTCCCAGTGCCCCCCCTGTGCCGCTGTCTGTGCTGCTGGGATGGCACAGCCAGAGGTGCAGTAAAAGCACCTCGATGGAGAGCAGATGGCTGCAATGAATCCTGGCAGGAGGAGGGACATTGTCACGCTCTCATCTGAGGCTCCTGGGGCAGAGGGACAGGCAGGGATTGTGGGGAGACAAATCTGGAATCACAGACAGAGATGGCATTTCACTGCTGCTGAGGGGAGTCGCTGCAGAGGGGCCCAAGCTGCAGCTGCAAGTAAAGTGGGGCAGAAGGCAGAGCAGGATTTAAGGACAGGGGGAGCCAGGCAGGGAAGCAGAGGCGGTGTGGGGGTGAGAGAGAAGTGAGTAAGAACTGCTGTGCATGCAGAGTCAGGGAATCTTCCCATGACTGCCAGAAAAGAGGCAGAGGAGCAGATGTGGTGGGTAGAAGAGTTCTTGGCTGCCTGACTGAAGTGTTTGGTTTGTCTGAAGAAACCAGTGAGAGCATGTGAGCAGCTGGAAGGGTGATGGGAGCAGAGACTGTGTCCAGTGGGATTTGCAGGCTGTAAGGATTATGAGTCTGTAGTGCTGCTTTGACAGGAAGAGAAGGAAAGGAGCAGAGAGAGCTGTCCTGGTGGTGCATCCCTCCAACAGGGCCACAGGCATGGGAGCAAAACTAGTGGCCCCCAGTGATTAGGATATGTTAGAAATGCTGGGTGCAGATAACAGGAGAGTGGTGACAAGTCCAGAGGGGACAGCATGGAAGGAAAGAGCTCAGCAAAAGGATTGCCTTGGAAAGCAGGAGCAGTGAGCCCTGATGAGCTGTGGGGGTCAGGCAGAGGCCAGAAGGAGCAGCAAGGAGCAGGAGGAGGAAGGAGGGGAGCAGGGGCAGCCTGTGGGGTTTTGTACTGGGAGCTCTGGGCACAGCAGCTTTTGCTGTCCCCTGTGAAATGCCCTGGCCTGATGTGATGTTCATCACCCAGCACAAGGAGCCCCTCCAGAACATGGCTGGTTTGGGCTGCTGGTAGCCAAGGATGCACTGAGGGCTTGTGCAAGTCCAAGGCAGTTTGGTTTATATCTTTATTTCCTTTGCTGACTGATGCCTGTCACTGCACATGGACTCAGGCCAGCTCTGAGGCTGGCTGAGGGATGTGTGCAGGGAGGGTTTGTGCAGGGGATTGCAGCACATCTCTGAGCATGTGGATTAGGTTGGTTTGGGGCAGACAGGAGTGGTTTAATTACCTGCTGTGGGACAGACAGCTTGCTGGGATTGTTCACTGTCAGCCAGAATGGAAGGCTAAAAAACGCTCAGAACATGAAATTATTTTCTTATTACTTGTTTTTGCGGCATTTTGAGAATACTTGTGAGTGGCCACTTTTAGAGGGATCTCTTCAGAACTGTTTTAGCTTATCAGCACATAAATCCCAAACTGATGATTTCTAAGGCTGAAGTGGGTATCAGGATTTTTTTTTGGAAAATAAAAGATCAGCCCTTTCAGCAAACATTTCACTGTGTGATTTAGGGCCTGTGTTTAAACCGTCAGCCTCTTTAAATGCATTAGCATACAAAAAATAAATGGGCACTTCAGAGGAGACCTTCCAATGAATTAATAATCACCTCAGCTCTGTGGAGATTGCCTTAAAAGCCCTTCCCCTTTGATCTGGCACAGATTAGCCTCTGAAAGGATTTAGCACAGAGAGGGTTGTTCGCTGACATGAAGGTGTTAAACAGAGATGGAGAGAGGCCAGTCACTTTAGCCTTCCCTGAATTATATATGAAGCTCTCCAGGATGGAGAGCACAGGCCTAAATTAAAGTGTTGCTTGAAGAAAGAGGGAGTTGAGAAGCACTGGAGCATAAAAAGCAGCGGTGGAATCACTGCGGAGCAAGGAGGTTCCTAATCATTCAAGCTGCTAAATGTAACCAGCTTTTTGATGGCTCACTCAGCGAGGTCTTCCTGCAGGTGCAAAACTGGCTGGAGGAGAAAAGGCTGCAGTGAATTGTGTGCTTGGCATGTAATGACACTGGTGCAGTCTCCAGGAGAGCTTGTGCTTGGCTCTGCCCCTGGAGGAGGTTCAGGCCAGCAGTGGGATGGCTGATTGTGGCTGTGTTCTGCTGCCTTCACATTCCAGCCTTCCACAGCCCTTTGATGGGGGCCTCTAGGTTCAAACTCTCAGATTTCTAGAGGCACTTAATTGAATTAGTTGCAAGGAGTAATGAGTTTGCTGAGGCCTGACTTGTTATGTGTGTTAGGTATTTCTCATGTCCAGGCATCGAGCTGTGTGCACCTACACAAGTGCTCTGGTTATGTATTCCCTTCCCCAGATGCACTCCTTATCTCTGCACAGATAACTAAACAGATAGCAGCAGTGTCTCCAATTTTCAAAGACCAAAATCCACTGAACAGTAATAGAAATCTGCAGCTATCAAACCCAAGCTCAGCATAATTTTTTTAATTTTTTTTTTTTTTTCAGCTGCAGTTGCCCATCTAACTTGCATTAGAATCATAAACGTTGGAAAAGATCTTTAGGATTATCAAGTCCAACCATTAACCTAGCACCATCACCATGTTCATCATTAAACCATGTGCTGAAGTGCCACATCCACATGTTTTTGAACAACTCCAAGGAAAGTGACTCTGCCACTTCCCTGGGCAGTCTGTTCAATGCTTACAACCCTTTCTCTGAAGAAATTTTTCCTAAAATCTAACCTAAACCTCCCCTGGCACAGCTTGAGGCCATTTCCTTTAGTCCTTATTTTATCCTTACCTTGTCCTTAAAGCACATTTATTAGGAATATGGCTGCAGAAATCAGTGTGTATGGATGCAGCCATTTGACCAGAGTTTACATATAGTAAATTATTTACTGTATTAATCATTCTAATGGATTTCTCAAAGCCTTCATTAATGCAACATCCCTTTTACCAAATGATGGCACACATGATTGCACCCATCCTTTGGTGCTGGGGGTACTTGAGACTGGGCTTTCCTGGAGCCTATATATAACCAAATTATCCTGACATTTGAAAAGTGCTTTGTGGAAAGCCTTGACAAGTTCTTGGAAATGTATTTGCTCATGGAATGGCTGCACATGCTCCATCTTGTACTCCTTTCCCTGGCCAGTGAGCAAGCAGTGGGGCCATCACAGCTCTAAGTCTTTTTGGGGTGCAGAAATGGCCTTCACACCCTATCCTGAAGGGCAGCTCTTGAATGAAAACTCAGAATCAAATGCAGCACCAGATGTGCCCTTTTTCCACCTGAGGTGTGGGTGATGGCTTGCCCTGGACACCACGTGGTGATAACAGATGCAGCTGGAGGGTGAACCTTGGAGGGAGCCTGGGGAAGGAAAGCAGTTCCTAATTGATGACACTGGTTGATGTTTTATTAAAACAGGTGAGGGCACTGTCCATTTGGCACAAACCCTGCCCCTGGCCACCAGCACTGGTCAATATTTATGGAGAAGTGTTGCTCTGGAGATGGCAGCTGGGCTGGGATGTCTCCAGCTGGCTGTTTCCTGGTGATAGCCCCCTCATGCCACTGCTGATTCAGAGGAATGCTCTCTGGTCACAGATGCAAACCAACCCATTCCTCAGCCCTGGACATTACCTGTTCTGCCTTTGGCTCATTGAAATTGTCCCTTGGCTATGATCTGCTGCATGGTGTTGCTCTGCTGTTGTATTTAACAGGAAGGAATGAGCAGTGCCTGCAGTCAGCTGCTGTGTGAATGTGCAGCCCTCAGCTCTGTGTGCTGATAGCTGCTAGCCCAAGCACCAGGGAATAAATCACCACTCTTCTTCCTGTCTGGGAAGAAGTCAGAAATGAAAAGTTTGTGGGGAGAAACCAGTATCTTGTTAGACTGTCACTGCACTTAATCCTGTCCACAGCCAGCCTGTGAAGAACAGAGGGGACTTTCTGTTACTCAGCAAGCTGGTTCCCAAGCACAGGAGCAAACCTGCCTTTTTACATGATATGGCACATTCCCTTCTGTGCTGTCATCACTATTAAATTCAAATACAGATAAAAGGATTTAATTTCAGGAGCAGGAAAGCGAGTGTGCTTCAGCCCTCCTAATCTCTGTGCAGTTCAGATTTCCTGGGACTTAACACTGAGTGTGTATATCAGATAAAGCCACACTAATTGTGTTCCTTCTTTTTATTTTTTTTTTGCCCCCCCCTCCCCATTTTCTTTCTGTTTATCTGGCACTGGATGTTTGGAAACTGCAGAACTCTGTTTGGAAACAAGATCAAGTCGGTGGCCAAGAAAGCGTTCTCAGGGTTGGAGGCTCTGGAGCACCTGTGAGTAACCCACCATGCCTCAGAGTTTGGGAAGGGGGGGTCTGCCAAAAGTAGCTGCTTGAGAAATCTGCTAGCAATTTAATAGTGTCTTTGTAAACTGAGAAGCCAGTCCATTTGTGGGGGCCACCTGCTTCCTTCTCATTATAAGTCCGCCTCAACTTTGGCCTTTTTTTGTGCCAGGAACAAAGTTGTAGAACATATGGGAAATTTGCATGCTCTTAATTTTTTGAGAGTATCACCTTGACTTGCCCATTACTGCTTTGCAGGCTGTTAGCAATGAAAAGAGGCTGGTGCAGGCACAGCACTCCCTCCTCCTTTGCCCCAGCTCCCTCCTAAACCCGGGCTCTGGCAGTGCCACGAGTTACAGATGACTGGGTTTGATGCATCCCCACTCAACATCCCCATTCAGCACAACCCCCATTTGCAAGAAGTGAATTTTGGCTGCCTCTGTGTAATTTTTTTTCTGTGTCCCAAGGCTGATGACTCCAGCAGTGATTCATGAATAACCTCCTTTCTTGGATTAAGACAAGTTAAAGTATATGTGACTGTGCTCTACATGTTTTATTGGCTGTTGATTGTTTGAAATGTTATGGCCATCAAGAGCACACTGAAGAGTTTGGGCTGCCTGACTGGGAGTACATTCCCAAATAAAGGTGCCCTTAATGCTCTACTGAGATTGTCCTCTTTAGGCAGTGTTTGTCTGCCCTACCTGTCACTTAGTAAACTTCAGCCCTAAATCTGACACTGTGCTTTTTCAGAGAACAAATTATTTTTTTAATTAGCAATAGTTGCGAGGGAAGGCTTTAACCCCTTCCTTTAGAAATACTGGGATGTTTTTTTAAACCAAACAGTGTCCTCTCCAAGTCATTTTCAAATAATTCCTCAGATGCTGCTTAGTGCAAGTATTTGCTTTCTTTTATGTTTGCTGAAGGTCTAGCCTGGGGTGGGTACCACATTCCTGACTATCTTTGGTTATTGAGGGGGCTGAGGAATTTCTGAGCTATGGATGATGGAGGTAGCTCAGCCTGAGGAAGTGCAGTGAGAAGATGGGGTAGGGAATGACTTGGTGATTCAGTTAAGTGTAAGTTTTGTTGGCTGGCTATTGTTCAGCAATACTTTGATAATACAAAGATGTTTTGAGGAACATTTCTGTGTAAGTGCTGAAGGCCTTAAGTAGGACCTACCAGATCACCTTTTACTGGAGTCATTGCTTAAATCAGTGTGAGAGGCTGTGTCCCAGCCATGGCATCTCTTCTGTTGACCCTGCCTGTGGTTGTGCCTGCAGGAACCTGGGGGACAACGCCATCCGCTCCATCCAAGCCGATGCCTTTGCCAGGATGAGGAGCCTGAGGCAGCTGTAAGTGATTGTCCTGCTCACACCCACCCCAGGCAGGAGGGATCCTCCTGGCCCTGCACCTCAGCAGCAGCACAGGTGCTGCCCACACCACCACTCAGGCATTCCCCCTCCCCTGCATGCTCCTCTGGGGGGTATTTTTACACATCAGGAGCTGTCATTGCATGTAATAGTGAGTGAAATTAGATCATGGGGACGGGTTCTTCCAGCAGGTTTGTGCTCTTATTGCCTGTGCAATTATTCATCTCCGTTCAGGAAGTCCAGCCCTGCTCCTGTTAGCCAGCTCTCCTGCTCACAGCTCCATGGATTTAATTCCCAGTGGCCCATCTGCTCCCTTGCTGTTCCTGTGTTTAGGGTTCACACACAGGACTGATACTGCAGTGATAAGCACCATTTGAACTGCATGCACTTGTCATTCAGCCTTCTGGTGTAAAAATACAGATGTGTTATCAGAGCTGCTGCTTGTGCTCCAGGCTGGGGCTCTGCACTGTTATCAGACACTGTTTCCAGTCTTGCCTGGTTTCCTTTTCTCCTCTTCCCCGTAAATATTTAATCCACTGTCAGTGTGTTGCTATGCCCCAGAGTAGTGCAGTGTCTGTGGAACACAAAATCATTTATTTAGTATTTGGGCAGGTACTGGTTCTTGCTCCTGACATTGGAAATGGGAATCAGATGGTCACTGCTGGCAGTGACACTTGATACCAGTGACTGGGAGTGAAGAAGATAAACACTGTGTGTCTGTGATTAAAAACTTTATCTTCTGCACTGGCACTTGAAACAAAATTGAGATGAAGGATTGATCTTATTAGGAAGAGATAGTGAGATCCCAGATATTGTGAAGGAATGTTTATAAAAGGGAGAAGTTCAGATAGAGGACATTTACATGCAGAATGCATTGTGCTGAAGGATCTCCTGACCTGTCCCAAGTACCCAGGAGGGTTTTATGCCTTCATACATGGTAGAGGCTACACATCTTTCTAGAACAGGAAAGAGAACAGCTTTGAAATGTCAAATCCCTATATTCTCTCTCTCTCCACTCAATTTCTTTCTTTTTCCCTTCCCTGCTCATTTCAAACTCCAGGATTTCCTGAGTTATTGGGTAGAAAATTAGCAGGAGATTCACATCTTGTAGTGCAGTGCTGGAGTTGGGATTCTCCTGGGCTCTTGATACCCTGCACTTGCATAGCTTGTAGGATTGCAGGACTGGAGCTCTCTCTGGGGCATTTCCCAGTCTCTGAGGCATCCTCACATTCAATTCCAAGGATCAGACTGAATTTTGCAAGCCAGACCAAAGTATGAAGGCCCTGTTTGTGTAAATTTACAATTCTTCGCTGGCCTTAGAGCTACGCTGAGCCATAATTTGGCCCAGAATATTAAAAAGAACCCACATTAATCCCAAAGCTCCCTTTTTCTTTGCCCCTTTTCTTAGTGTTGGATCAGAGAATTACAGAATCCTACAATGGTGGGGTTGGAACTCAGGATGCTGAGAAATGTTTATGTGTTTTGTTTTCCAGACTAGTTACTGTTCCTGTGGGGTTTACACAAATATCTTTGGTCATTTCTCCTCTGCTGCTTCTTTTAATCAGTAAACACAACTCCAGGGTCACCTTATGGAAGGCAGGGTCTCTCTGCTTTCTGCTCTGCCATGGAGGGAACTCAAAGCCTTTCAGTGGGAGCTGGGTGTCCTCTTTCTCTCTGGTCATCAGCTAAATGCTGAATTTGGTCCCCACCAGGGGCTCAAACCCCAGAGGGGCAGAGCAGGAGCTCATTGATGTGTCCTGTCTGTTCCTGGGGATCACTCTGGGGGCTGGTTAATAATGACAAGGAGCTGCAGAGTGTCACTGCAGTACAGGAGGGGGTTTCTCTAAATGTGTCATGCCTGTAACACCTTCAGTGCCTCAAGGACATCCCTGCAGTCCTTTTTCTTCCTTCCACCCATGCTGGTGGGGGCAGGAGGAGCGTGTTTAACATGAAAGGGCTGTGGGTTTCCCAGCCTTCCCTCCGTGCAGGACTCACAGCAGGCTGGTGTTGGTTTTGTTTCCCTGCAGCCACATTAACAGTGACAGCTTCCTCTGTGACTGCCAGCTGAAGTGGCTGCCCCAGTGGCTGGTGGAGAAGGAGCTGCAGTCCTTTGTGGTGGCCACCTGTGCCCATCCTGAGTCACTGAAGAGCAAGAGCATTTTTGCCATCCAGCCAGAGAGTTTTGTGTGTGGTAAGTTCTTGCCTGCGTGTTTTGAGGTTGTGTGAAGGGTAGGAGTCACTTGGGAAACATTTTCTTTGAGTACCAGCATGTTATTATGAGAGGGTTTCTGTTTTGTTTTGTTATTCAGTGGGATCAAAGGAAGCCCAAGCCTGCATTTAAAAAATTTGTCATTGGCTACAATTTATTTCCCACTAAAACCACACAGTGGATTGCTTGCATCCAGAGTATTCCTTACAGGGCTCCCTGAGTATTAAATCAAAAGGGACTAAGGCCTGTTCCACTTCCAGATGGGGCTGCACAGACACTTCCCCAGTCCTCTCTGTTTGATAGTATCAAGCCTGCAGCTGTAATTTTTTTCCTTCTGCAGTGTTCTGAGCTCTTTTTTTGGATTTGTGTTCTTCACCCATCTTTTCTCCCTCTTGGAGACAGCAAAGAGTTAAAAACAAACCCCAGAGGAGAATCCCTCCATCACAGCTGCTTCTTTGGGGCCAGTAAGGCCCACCCAAATACTGCAGCTCACTCTGCACCTGAGCTATGGTTTCAAAGCAGCTTTACTTAATACCAGCACACATAAACATCTACTACTTTTCTCATAAGGGAAAAAGAAATTTAAATCATCAGAAGAGGCCAAATCAGTGCTGCTCAGGCATCCAGGTTTTGGGGAAAAGAAAGGCTTGGTTTGGGAGCCAAACCCTGTGCAGTGGAGCCAACCAGTGAGGATCCTGGGTGGAGCTGCACATGGCTGTTGGAAGGAAAAATGAGCTTTTGCAAACAGCATTTAACTGAGCTGAATGCATGACTTGCACTGAACAGGGAGCAGCAGAAGCTTTGTTCCAGTGTCCCTCCTGATCCCCCAGTGACACTCTCTGCCTAGGTGGCCCCTGTCTGAGCAGGCTGGGAGGGAGCCTTGCTGTGCTCATCTGGAAGAAGAGATCCTGAAAGCTCCATCCCCACAGCAACATCACAAAGCAAAAGCAGCTTTGCTTCCCGGTGCCTGCCAAGTCCTCCAGGCACTAGTAGTCCTGGTTCCAGAGGCCTGGCTGTTTAATTAAACCTTAGTCAAATATTAAATTACACCATTTGTAGAAACCTAATAAATGAATCTGCTTGGATCCTTGCTAAAACCAACAGTCTTCAGGGCAGAGAGAGAGTGTGCAGAGCTTTCCACCCTGGTCGGGTGACAGGCAAATACAGCTGCTTCTGCTTTGAGAGTCATGGAGTCCTTTAGGCTGGAAAAGACCTCTAAGATCTTTTAACTTTAACTTACTTACCATTAACTTACTGCAGCCAAACACACCACTAAACCAGGGCCCTGAGTACCACATTGACACATGATTTAAATACCTCCAGGGATGGTGACTCCAGCACCTCCCTGGTCCCTGAGCAGCCTGTTCTGGTGCCTGACAGCCTTTTTGGGGAAGAAAGGTTTCCTATTAACTAATCTAAACCTCTCCTGGCACAACTTGAGGCCATTGCCTGGGAGAAGAGACCAATCCCCACCTCACTAAAACCTCTTGTGAGCGATTTTCCCTGGAGGTGACACTTGCAGCCCTTTAAATGTCCTCTCCCATCCTACTTCATGCCAGTACAGGTCTGGAGGTGAGGTCTAAAGTTCAGTTGTGCTCTTCATGCATTGTACAAAGAAGGACAACTTGAATATGGTCTGAATATCTTCTTCAGACCATAGTATCTTTCTCAGATTCACTTGGTGAAGAAGCTGGGTGTCTTGTAGGTGTCTGAGGTCACTCAGTGACCACCTCAGCCCACTGAAGGAACCAGAGGAACAACAGTCCCATGTAAACCAACAACTAACTCAGTGGAGCTGTGTGTGGCACACCTGCTCTACAGAGCACTGCTTATTTCTCATTTCACCTCTTGGCTTGCTCCAGCCTCCCCTCAGAGCCCAGCACTGACTCTTCATTGCTGCTCTTTCCTCCCAGATGATTTCCCCAAGCCCCAGATCATCATCCAGCCTGAGACGACGGTGGCTGTCCTGGGCAAGGACATCCGCTTCACCTGCCTGGCTGCCAGCAGCAGCAGCTCCCCCATGGTGTTTGCCTGGAAGAAGGACAACGAGATGCTGCACAACGCCGAGATCGAGAACTTCGCGCACGTGCGCGCCAAGGACGGGGAGGTGATGGAGTGCACCACCATCCTGCACCTGCGGCACGTCACCTTCGCGCACGAGGGCCGCTACCAGTGCGTCATCACCAACCACTTCGGCTCCACCTACTCCAACAAGGCCAGGCTCACTGTGAATGGTGAGTGGGAGCTGCCGCCTCCTCTTCTTCTCCTTAGCCTGAGCTCCTGCTGAATCGTGGCACAATTCTGTTGTGTTTGCGGGGTGCCCCGATGAAAGGAGGGAGGATGAATCTGACTCCATGTTCTTATTATTTTATGATGCTATAATATATCAAAGAATGCTATACTAAACTATACTAAAGAATACAGAAAGGATACTTAAACAATGCTAAAAAGATAATAATGAAAACTCGTGACTCTCTCCAGTCTTGGCACTGATTGGCCATTGAGTCAATACAATTCACACCCGAATTCAGTGAAACAATCACCCATGGGTAAACAATCTCCAAACACATTCCACATTAGCAAAACACAGGAGAAGCAAATAAGATAATAATTGTTTCCCTTTTCTCTGAGGTTTTCCCAGGAGAAAAATCCTGGGTGAAGGGATTTTTCCAGAGAATGGGAATGCCACACAATTCCTTGTTCCTGAGGGTCCGTTCCTGATGGCGAGCTCTTAACCTCTGCACAGCAGCTGTTTGTATCTGAGTGGATGCTGGGAAATGCCCTGTGAGGAGCACACACCCTTTTGTGTTGGCTGCCATCCAGCCAAGCACTTCAGCATGCATGTTCTTAGCAGCCTGAGCTGCTGCTCTTTGGCTGCTCAGGTAGATGAGCACGACGGCGCGGCTGGAGTGCGCTGTAGCTGTGATATTTTCTGAAAAATCCTTTCTTTAGGATTTTTTCTCCTGAGAAGCCTCAGGAACAAAATGTAAACAATGATTATCTGCTGTTGTAGAATGCAACAGGTAGATCTTTGATGGCCCATGTTAGTTGTTCCTAATTAATGGCAAATCACAGTCAGCTGGCTCAGACTCTCTGAGACACAAGTTTTTGTTATCCTTCTTTTTCTTTTTCTGTTCTTAGCTTACCTTGTGATGAAATCTTTTCTTGTATTCTTTTAGTATAGTTTTAACATAATATATATCATAAAATAATAAATCAGGCCTTCTGAAACATGGAGTCAGATCCTCATCTCTTCCCTCATCCTCGGACCCCTGCGAACACCGTCACAGTGCACGGCTGAGGGCCACCTTAATCCCTCTGTGTGAAGGAAAGCAGAACTGCCCAGAAGACATTATTTCCCCACAGAACCACTCACACTCTTTTCTTACTTTCCCTCTATCAGTGCTGCCATCATTTATCAAAACTCCCCACGACATCGTGAGCCGGACGGGCACGATGGCACGGCTGGAGCGCGCGTCCGACGGCCACCTTAATCCCTCTGTGGGAAGGAAAACAGAACCGCCCAGACAACGATATTTCCCCAGAAAATCACTCACACCCTTTCCTTGCTTTTCTTCCATCAGTGCTGCCATCGTTTATCAAAACCCCTCACGACATCACGAGCCGGACGGGCACGACGGCGCGGCTGGAGTGCGCGGCCGAGGGCCACCCCGCGCCGCAGATCGCCTGGCAGAAGGACGGCGGCACCGACTTCCCCGCGGCCCGCGAGCGCCGCATGCACGTCATGCCCGACGACGACGTCTTCTTCATCACCGACGTCAAGGTGGAGGACATGGGCGTCTACAGCTGCACGGCTCAGAACTCGGCGGGCTCCGTGCTGGCCAACGCCACCCTCACCGTGCTGGGTGAGACGCCTTTGGGCTTTTGTGTGTTTGTAATTGTGTCATGTGGTTGTGATCCTGCAGTTCTTTAGTCTATGGCTCTAAAGTGCATAGAGAGTGTTAGGTGCTGTTCGTCCATTTTGGTCAGACAAAGCAGTTCCTCTCTAGGCCCAGGAATGAAGGACACATCACTGTCTCCCTGCCCTGAGAGGTGGAATCAAAAGTCAGTTGGGGAAGAGCAAACTTGGGGTGAATGACTTCATTACCTGAAGCTGTAATTGGAAGATTAACCCCCAATATGCAAATGGACCAAACTTATAAAAGTGTAAAAACCCATGACTCATCATCCATTTTTGGGCGTAGTCCCTGGGGGTGCTTTCATCTGCCCTAAATGAACCTGAAGAGGCCCTTCAGTAAATATAACTGCTTTTATTCCCTTAATTTTGTCTGGCCTCCATTTTTAGGTAGTCCCCAAAAGGCATCACCAGTGCCCCAGAAGGCCAAGTGCAAGTGGGAACAGGGAGGGATGGCCATTAAGCTCTTTACCAGTTGCAGATAAAAGAGACAGAGTCAAATGGTCTGCTTAGTCTTGTTTAATTCTTTTACACTGTAGTTCACTAATGAAAAATACCTGTTCAGTAAGAGAAGGAGCTGTAAGTTGCATCTCCTCTTGTGCTGAGGAAGCCTCTCCAACCAGCCTATTTCCTGTCTGGGAAAATGACTTCAAAAGGAAATTGCACTTCATCTCTCTTGCTCTGTGAAATACTTCACTTTTCAGCTGTTGGCATATGTCCTCAGAAGTTTCTTGTTGGGGAAACTTAACAGCAGTTGGTTGTGGGAAGTGAAACCTTGGCTGTGGTTGTTAGATCTGTTGTGGTGTGTTGTGTCTGTTATATTCCTGAGCACATGCCTGCTTCGTGCCTTGCTGTGTCTGCAGGAACACGAGGAACTTTCAGTGCTGTTAAATCTGACAGGGATTTTAGGGACAGTTGTTACACCATTGTTGGGGAAGATGAAACAGGAAAGCCTTATAAATATGATTGTCTGGCAAAAGATTTTGAGAATATAGAAACTATAAGCGAGATTGAAATGAAAGCAAGCTTTGAGATCCCTTAGTTACTGAACAACTGGAAAAGAGTGGTGTGGCTGGCTGAAGGTAATCCCCTTTTGATGAATTAATACCCTCTGTCTGCAGACAGGTCCAAGGGTCAGAGCAGACCCTACTAACTTAGCAGAAGGGGTCCAAAGAGTAGTTTATAGGGTTTAAAATGTAACACAGTATGGCAATGTAATGATTCTTATAGGCTGTATGTAAATGCTATAAGATTTGTATATTGTAGTAGATTGGTTAGTGAGAATCAGAATATTCAACACAGAAGAAGATTTATTGTATTGTAACGGGAGCCTCACTCTCTTACCTTTTTTACTCCCTTACGTTCTTACCCTCTTACTCTCTCACCCTCTCATCCTCTCTACCCCTCTCTTCTCTCGGGCCTGCTCTGAGCTGTGGCTGGCAGCTCCCAGCAGGGCCCTGCACCCAGGCCCTTTGCAATAAACCCCAAATCCCAGCAGGGCCCTGCACCCAGGCCCTTTACAATTAACCCCAAGTTCCAAGCCCTGGCTTCAGAGATCTCTCGTTTCCATCCATCCTGACTGTCCTACCCCCATCACTCCTACACACCATCCCTAAAACTCAATTTCTGTGCTTGTTCTCCTGCAGAGACACCATCCTTGCTCCATCCCCTGGAAGATCACGTGGTGTCCGTCGGCGAGACCGTGGCTCTCCAGTGCAAAGCCACGGGCAGCCCCCCGCCCCGCATCACCTGGCTGAAGGGTGACCAGCCCCTGGTGGTGACAGAGAGGCACCACTTCACCTCGGGCAACCAGCTGCTGATCGTCAGGAACGTGGTGCTGGAGGACGCGGGCAAGTACACGTGTGAGATGTCCAACACGCTGGGCACGGAGCGTGCGCACAGCCACGTCAGCATCCTGCAGGCGCTGGGCTGCCGCAAGGACCGCACCACCGTGGGCATCATCACCATCGCCGTGGTCTGCAGCATCGTGCTCACCTCCCTCGTCTGGGTCTGCATCATCTACCAGACCAGGAAGAAGAGTGAAGAGTACAGTGTCACCAACACAGGTAGCTGCAGTGTCCTGAGGTCCCCTCTGACCTTTCCCATGGAGGCAGAGCTGGCTTGGCAGGGAGCTCCACTGTCCCCTGGAACTGCAGCTTCTCTTGGCTCCCAGGGCTGGAACCAGCTCTCACTGGCTGCTGAAGCACGTTCAGAGCTGCATTTCTCCCCTTGGCTTGCTCTTCAGGAAGGTCTTTTCCACTTGGCTGTAGTTCTGGCCATTGCTTTGCTACTTTGGTTTTCCATGACCATAAATGATAACTTTTGAGACAGTCTGGATGATGTTCATGATGCTGGGAACCTGTCTTGGATTTTGGAAATCTGTATTTTCAAAGTCTTCAAAGTCAAAACTTGAAAAATTAAGACTTTTAAGCTGGAATCCCTTTTTTCCATGTTGGCTATGGGGAGGTGGGTCTCTGTTATTTTTTAGAGGAAGAATTAGCATATATTGCTTTCTCCTGATATCAGAGGGGATAATTTGGTGCTGAAATAGATGTTGCAGTGAGAATAAAATCTCCTGCCCTCCTTACACAGCCTCTGAACAAAACAGAAGTATGGAAGAACCAGCCTAAGACCTTCCCAGCCTGCTTGGAATTTCCAGCCTTCCTTAGCTTTAGATAGAGTACAAAAGGATTTTTAAATACATGGGCTAGGTAGGAAGTCTTGGACAGCCTATTAGCAGTGTATTAGTGTGTATCAGCAGATGTATTAGTGGGATTCTTTTCTAACTTCTTTTTTTAGTCCTCAAAATCCACAGCTTTGTGCCCAATATAATTGAGTTTCACTTGGTTTTGTGTGGCAAGGGAAACTGAAATTGCCTGATAGAAAATGGAGAAGGCCAAGAGGCTTAAGACTTATTTCCTGCTTAAGAGAATCAAACACCCTTTTCTGCAAAATACTTTTACTCCTGACTTCAGGAGGCAGAAGACTTGAGTCAAAGGAAGGACTGAATTTCAGAGGAAAGAGAAGGATTTACTAATTCTGAATAAATAGTTCTACTGCACCTACTATGTACTGACCATGCCACATGCAAACACTCAAAGTGCCTTTATCAGCACTCTCTCCCACAGCTTTAAGCTTTGAAAAATCAGGAATGGGGCTTCTGAGGGGAAAGGAATATTTAGGCAGTTCAGTTTCCAGTGCATCTACAGAAAACAACCCCTTCTAGATCTGGTCCTAAATCCCCCTTGAAAATGTGAATTTCCTTTGAAAAATCCTGCTGGGAGCTGACTTTTCCCTTCTGCCATTGCTCTAGATGAGACTATAGTGCCTCCTGACGTGCCCAGCTACTTGTCCTCCCAGGGGACTCTGTCGGAGCGCCAGGACGTGGCCATTGGAGTGGACACCCAGCAGCCCAACGGGCACATGGACAGCAATGGTGAGCAGTGGCTTCATTGCTCTGTGATGCTGGCTCTGAACTTGATATGGGAGGTAGAAATCTCAGCCCAGGGTGCTTCTGTGTGTTTGTGTTTGTTCTGAGTTATCTGAGAGATCTTTATAATGTTACTCCTGCATTTATGCGGAGCAGGGATCTGTGTCTGACTTCACAGAGCTCTCCTCTCCCTGGAGTAAGTGTTCCTACAAGCTGACTGCCTCAGAAACTGCTCAGTCAGGCCCTAAGGACTGGACTGGTTTTTTGCTAATTTTGGATTCTGTTTTTGGCAGCAGAGTTACCCACAGTCATACCAGAAAATGCATTAACATTGCCTGTCCCTGCCTTCAGGCTTTGAAATTAAATGTTGGGGTTTTACACTATTTAAACACAGCACATTAGGAAGGAGAAGTTAAGAGTTCTGAACAAAGATCCTCGTGAGATTGTGCAGCACTTACTCTGTTAAATGTTTGCTGAAAATTATCTTTTATCTCCATTTCTATTTTCTCTCCCTTTTCCAGTGTAAGTAAGACCAACAAGTCATTTAACTGAGCAGATGGCTGTGATCTTTACCCAGATGGTTTGTTTGTTACAGGGATGTGTCAGGCTGATGCTGGAAGGTGTCCAGATGTTGAAGCTCCTGCTGTAGGTTGTAGACAGCCCAAGCTGTGTATCAACTATAACAAAGACACTTGGAAAACTGAGGACATGGCTGATGGAATGCTTGTTCCAGATAAGACAGGTACAAAACCCATTAATCTGGGAAGGCATTTCATGTTTGTACAGATCACAAAACCCTCCAAGTCAGACAGCATTAACACAAAAAATTGTTACCTTCATAGAAAAAAAAAAGCTCAGAATGATTCTCAGGTGCAAGCACAAAAAATTTACTTTCTCCTGCTTGCTTTGATTCTCTCTGAAGGTTGGATAGTTGGAATTTGAGGAACCATCAGAAAGAGGCAGAGTAAAGCTCCCAGTTGCCATTTTGCACAGCTGGTTGATGGGAATTTTGATTTGAAATATTCTTAAATTATGAGAACACTTTCTGAACTGAAAGTGTTAAATTTTTTCATGCTCTTTTAAAAGGGCTGTTGACTTCAAAGCTCAGCTTTTTAATTTGTTTTCAAAATTTAAAGGTTGTTTTGGGCACTACACCTGCCTCTGCTCTTTGCCAATTTCTATGGTGTTCCACTCATACTTTTCTATTTTTAGGATGTGCTTTCTGTTCTCACACTGCATTGTAAAAGGCACAGAAAATCAGCCAATGAAACAAATTTTCTCTCTAGGAGAAACTAATGTGAAGTTAAATAATGGAAAGTTGTTGAGTGCACTAAGGAAATTAACTTTCAACTTTCTTAGAAAATCCTTGCTGCTTTGAATCCTGCTCATCTGTTCATACCACTACCAGTAATAACATATTTTGAGATAACAGTGCAAGCTGATGCTGCTCCCTGTAAAGCAGCAGCACAAAAATAAGAAAGGTAACTTGGTATTTTAAAGCAGCTACAGTAAAGTTCCACTTTGCACTTCTACCCTGATTAGAAAGTTTGGGAAAGGAAATAAATGCATAGTTTATTTAAAAAAAAAGTTACAAGTACTTTGGAGTGAAAATGAATCCCTAACTAACTAAACCTGTTAATTGGAACTACCTTGAGTGATGGTGGATGTGTAGTAGCCCTGTGTTAGACCACGAAGTTATTTAGTGAGAGATTCCCCCAGTGAGCTGCACAGAACTGCCCTTTCCTTCCATGATCTGTGTGCTCCAGTGCTGACCCCTTCCAGCTGCTCCTCTCACCCTGTTGATTTTCCCTTCTTCCCCCAAGGCTACGGGCTGCCCGTGGTGTGCACGGAGTGCAGCGGCAGCGCGGACAGCGAGAGCGTCCACCCCTACCCCAAGGACTGCCAGAGCCTAAAGACTGTGGAGAGCACCCACCCCAATGCACTGAGCAGCAGGGAGCACCAGAGGAAGAGGGGTGCAGGCACCAGCCTTCTTCATGCCCAGCCCTGCAATGGCATTGCCAGTGGCAAGAGGGTGGAGACAGACGGGACCCTCTACCCCAGCAACCACGACAGGATACGGCCAGAGGGCGCGCTCGGTACGTCCTTCCTCGGGTCACCTCTGGTCCCCAGGGCCACCAGCAGGGCTGTGGCACAGCCCCACGTGCTCCCCTCAGCCTGGGGATGGCAGTGGTGGGGTTGGTTTGGGCAGAGGATAGAACTGTTAGGGTTGGGAAGAGCCTCCATGGCTATGGAGGGTGGGAGTGCTTGGCGGGCTGAGGGTCACCTAACCATGCTGCTCCTTTGGGGTTTTGCAGGCTCTTCACAAGCAGCAGCAAAGCCTTCAGAGCTTAACAACCTTAATTTGGTGAGAGCTTCGCCTGCAGGAGGGTCACTAAAGCAACTGAACGTGCTTCCTGAAATATCCCCAGCACTACTGGATCTGCAGGGGGAAGCAGACGTGGAGCAGGCTCTCCTGCCCAGCAGCAGCACAGCCCAGCCCCACGACTCCACTCACGAGCCCAAGCTGCCCAACAGGTCTCTGGACTGAGAGCACAGACTGACTGCCACGTGCAAATTAACAAACACACTATTACTTTTTTAAGATTTTTTTTTCTTTTTTTGCACAGAGTATATAGGCTACTTACTTCTACCTCGAATCTTGAACTGATGGCCTGGCAAAGGCAACCAACTGAGGTATGAGAAACAAGCTTGTATGGGGAACAAACTCCTGTTCGAGCGTCATCTGATTGTACATAGTTTAAAACTTCCCTGAGAAGTATGAAGTGTTCAAAAGTCAACTTGCATATGAAGCACATAAATGCAAGGGATTATTGTGTAAAGAGAAAAAGTATTTGATACAATTGTACATAAGAGTTTTCATATATAAATATATATATATAAAAAATATATATCTTTTACAGAGGCTATTTTAATCTTTAGTGCATGGAAAACTGAGTGAAATTTTACAATTTTGGCAATATTGTTTTCAGTATCAGGTTGCTGTTAAACTTTGTGAGAGAAATAATTCTGGTGCCTTAAATGCATAAACAGAACTTTTAAAAGCCAGACTGTTCCAAGGGGATTGTCCTCTTTTCAGTGGAAGTTCCTTTACACCATGTACACTGGGGTTGGGGCAATCCCAGGTACTGGTTGGGTGGAAAAGTGACCAGGAACAGCCCTGTGGAGAGGGATTTGGGGGTGTTGGTGGGTCAGAGGCTGGGCATGCCCTAGCCATGGGTGCTCACAGCCCAGAAATCCAACCATGTCCTGGCCTGCATCCAGAGCATTGTGGGCAGCAGATTCTCCTCTGCTCCACTCAGGTGAGGCCCCACCTGGGGTTCTGCACACACTTCTGGTGCCCTCAATGTAAGGAGTAATGGGTTCAAACTGAAAAAGGGGAAATTTAGGTTAGATACAGAAGAAATTGAAATTCTTCCCTGTGAGGGTGGTGAGGCACTGGTACAGGTTGCCAGAGAAGCTGCAGATGTCCCATCCCTGTAGGTGTTCAGGCTGGATGCACTTCTGAGCAACCTGGACTAAGGAAAGGTCTCCCTGCCCATGGCAGGGGGTTGGAACAAGATCATCTTTAAGGTCAGGACAGGCTGGATAGATGGGCTAAATCCAACAACATAAAACTGAACAAGTCCAAGTGCTGGGTCCTGCACTTTGGCCACAACAACCCCTGCAGTGTTACAGGCTGGCACAGAGTGGCTGGACAGTGCCCAGAGTTCAGAAAGGGACCTGGGGGCACTGGGTGGCACCTGCCTGGACACGAGCCAGCAGAGTGCCCTGGTGGCCAAGGAGGCCAATGGCTGCTGGTCTGTGCCAGGAATGGTGTGGCCAGCAGGAGCAGGGAGGTCACTCTGCCCTGCCCTGGGCCCTGCTGAGGGCACACCCTGAGTGCTGTGCCCAGCTCTGGCCCCTCAGTTTGGGAAGGACCTTGGGACACTGAGCACATCCAGAGGAGACAACGAGGCTGGAGAGGGGCTGGGAACACAAACCCTGAGAGGAACCCCTGAGGGAGCTGGGGGTGCTCAGCCTGGAGAAAAGGAGACTCAGGGGTGACCTTATCACTCTGTACAACTCCCTGAAAGGTGGCTGGAGCCAGGTGGGGGTCGGGCTCTTTTCCCAGGCAACCCCTGACAGAATTAGAGGATACAGCCTTAAGCTGTGCCAGGGGAAGTTTAGGTTGGACATCAGGAAAAAATTCCTCACAGAAAGTGACTGGACATTGGAATGGGCTGCCCAGGGAGATGGTGGAGTCACCGTGCCTGGATGTGTTTAAAAAAAGCCTGGATCTGGCACTTAGCCATGGTTTAGATGATAAGGTGGTGTTAGGTCATAGGTTGGACTTGATCATCTCAAAGGTCTCTTCCAGCCTAGTTAATCCTGTGATTCTGTCCCTTCCAACCCAAGACTTTCTGTGATTCAATTGGATTACTTAGCACAAATTTCCTTCCCCTTGGAAATTTATTGTACTTAACACATTTAATAACAGAGGTCTTCAATTGTGTCAAATGAAATTTATAAAGAAAAAAAGCAGCGAGCAATTACATAGCAACCTGATATTTTCCTGTTGGTGGAAGAACTTGAATTCCATTATTTTTCAAAACTTCATAAAAATTAGTATTTGAACTGTGACTGTGTGAGACTTCAGAGTGGACCACACAGGAGGCACTAAATAGCTCTTCAGCAGTGTAGAGCCCCAAAACAACCAGAGGAAAAGGCTGTTTTGACTGGGAAGAAGTTGTTACCAAAATAAATAACTTGTGCAGTAAACCAGGGGTGGTCTCACACCAGTGCACCTCTCAAACACGTCATCACAGAGGTTTTACCTGCCATGTGTGCACAGCTCTGAGCACCACAGCCTCACCACAGGCCCTTCCCCTCCCAAAGGGACCCAGCTCTACCTGTCTGAGGTGTGTGCAGCAATCCAGCCTTGCCCTGCTTAGAATAAATAACCTGTGCCAGTGTAATGCATTTTCACACCCAAAACCCACATCTGTTCTGTGGGGGTTTGAAACCATAGAGCTGTTTTGACAACAAAACTGAACTGTACTCCTGAGGGGACAGCTGTATCACTAATTCATCCAATACCTTTTTTTTTCTGCAACACAATATTACACTTTGTAGTTGAACAGCCAGACTCTATATGAAAACATCACCTTCAAGTGAGTTATGCTGCCTTGTGTAGCAATTCTGGGCTAGTTAGAAATACACTTGTTTTATCAGGAAAACTGTGGATTCATGGTTGAACAGACTTCTAAATGGAAATGTCCCAAATGTTTTTATGTGGTCTTTTAAGTTCATCCATTAATGGGGGGGGTATATAAAGAAATGCCCACCTCAGTCAAACAGATCTTTGTCACTTCTGACTTCACAATGACGCTTTTTATTTATAGGAAGGTTGCTTTCTGTTGGTGTTTGTTGGTACCTGTGGATGGAGGACTCCCAGTTCTTTGTGATTTGAGTTCTGCTAACGTGAGGTTGCTAACTCTGGTGATGACTACTTTGGGGCAGGTTTATCATGGGTGGGAGGGGGTGTTGTTCCTTTTTTCCTTAGGAGCAACCCAAATCCCAGTTCCAGTGAGGCCGAGTCTGGGAATCCACCTTTGCCAGGACTGTGGTTCAGAACAAGCAGCAGAGACAAGGGCAGAAACACTTCATGGTCACTTTGGCTCCATCACTGAGGGACTTGTCCCAGGGCTGTGTGGGCTTTCAGGGAGTGGCTGCAAGCTGCCCCTTGGTTTATCACAAGCTGGTCCTGCCCAGCCTCAGCTCCTGTAAGGGAAGGAGCTGGGGGTCAGGGGGAGCAGCAGCTGCCCCTGGATGAAGCCAGGCATAATTCAGCCAGTACCTGTCTGTCCCAGTCCCTGACTATTGACACGATTGCACTTTGAGACAGGCGGCGAATTATGGTGAGTGCCAAGTTTATTCAGAGCAAAGGAAATGGAGGTTAGAAAATTATAAACCGAGCACAGTTTTCCCTTTGCTGAAGGGAAAAGTGCTCCAGAACTAACTCATGGAACCAGGGACATGGGGGAGATGGGAATGATTCAATGGGCTCGTTTTGCTGGCAGAAATGTCATCACCAGTGCAGATACAAAAGCATATTTGCCATGTTAACATTGAAAATAATGGTTCTGAATAAAGTTAACTGCCTAATGTTATGACTTCCACTAAATATGTGAATTTGCTGCTTCTAAGAGGCAATGTGAAAGAGGAAGTATTACTTTTGTGTACAAATTTATTTATTTATTAGAGAATTTGGTACAATGTTGTACATTGAAAAACATGTAAGATATTGAAGTGTCTAACAAACGGCATTGAAGTGTCTTTAATAAAGGTTCATTTATAATATTACAGCTGATCTGTTGAGAGTGAGCTTTTGGGAGTTTCAGTTGGAAATTAAATAAAATTCTAATCCATTGCTATATCTCTTTCCTGTCTTTCTGTCATGAAAATGGAGATTAACTGCCAAAGTACCTGCTCTTGAAATTGGGCCATGAGATCGTGGGGCTCTGACAGCCTGGCATGTGGATGGGGTGGAATTTGGGGCTGGATGGAAAAATACAATACAGAACTTGTAGGAAATACATTTCCAATATATCAGCTTGCTTTAGTATCTGGCAAGTCCCCCCTATTTTGGCAGTGAGAACAGAACAGATGAGGGGTAGGGTGTGTGTGTGTGTGTGTGTGCAAGTAAAAACAGGGCCAGGACAGCACCAGACCCAGCTGCAGTTGTGAACACCTCTGGTGTTCCCAAAATCCAACCCCACCCTGGGTGGAAATTCCAGAGGTAGCTTTGGAGATAAGCCTGAATTCCTGCTTCAACTAAAAATCTTAATTCAGCTTCTGTAGATTTTTTAAAAATTGAAATTAATTCCCCCTTGAAATTATCACTTTGGGTATAAAGCAGGTTGTCTGAGAATATTCAAAGTTCTTTAACACATCTAGGAGTTAAAATTTTTTAAAACTGAGAGGGGTTTTAAGAGGCTGGTGCCTGGTGTAAAATTTGTTATCCCACTTTATCCTAGTAATGGGCTACATTAAATTTTGGTAAACTTGAAATAAAACATTGCTAAAACTTAAGGCAAACAGTCATAGAGGAACTCATGCATTTTTTGGTCTATTTTTTCTCCCTGCAATTCCAAAACTAAAAATGTCCTTTTTATCCATATTAGGCAAACTGGTGCATGCAGAACAGCCCTGGCCACCTGCTGGGGCTGTCAGTTGCCTGCTGCCATTCCCAGGTACCTTTGGCCTTTGGTGCAGAGCTGCTCCACTGGCACACAGGAAGGGGAATCATTTTTTGGATGGGTTTTGGTTGGGGTTTTTTATTTTAATTTTTAAAAAAAAGGTGATGACAAAAACTGATTCTGCAATATTAAATAAAAACAACAAAAAAATGCACCATTTGGACCCAATGATATAAAGATGATTATTTACAGCTCAAGTAATTAAATGCATCAACTGCAGTGTTAACCCCCTCACCATGTTTGAAGAGCTTCAATAGAAAATGTGATGTAGATTTTTGGGACAGAGTAATAAATCTCCCTCTCCCCCAGCCCCCAAAATTGAATGTGATACATGTATTTATAGAATGTCATAAAAGAGACAGCCTCAAAATGGCAGGAAGCACAGCTACACCAAGCCATGCTAATGAGCAGTGTTACCAACCAGCCAATACAGGACTTGGCTGAATTCCCCATTTTAATTGAAGATTATTTTTTAAGAATTATGTCCTTTGTTCTGTATGCTTTACTTGTCTGCCAATTATTTTCTAAGTTTTGGCCTCTAAAAAGTCTTACTACTCTGTCATGGATAGCAGTAGATATATATATATATATATATATATATATATATATATATATATATGGATAGCAGTATCATATATATATATATATATATATATATATATATATATATATATAAATACTGCTAATATGTTTTATTATATATATTTATATATAATAAGACACCCAGCCTGTGCTGTAGGCACTCTGGGCAGGGCTCTGGTGTCACTGGTGTCACTGGTGTCACTGGTGTCAGCACACTGACCTGGTCTGGCGTTTGTTCTCCCTCTACATCAGCAGAACTCTGATGTTCTCCCTGCTTTGCCCTCCCTGCTTCCCTCCCAGGTTTCCATCCCAGCACTTCCATCCTCCTGCAGCTTCAGCAGCTGAGGGATGAAGACCAAAAGAAGGCAGAGCTCCGTGTCTTTGCACAAGCACAGCTGTAAAATAACACAAGCCTGTGCTTTTACTGGAGAAATATGAGTGTGATTAATAAAGCTGCACTGGCTCCCACACAGGAATGCTTGCTGAGCACCTGTAGGTATAAACAGGAATATAAACTTCCACAAATACAGCTCGAATCAGAAACAAATGGATGATTGTCTTTGACAAAGAGCTCTCCCAGGCCAGGATCCTTTGGTGCTGTTGGAGGGCAGCAGGCTGTAACTCTATCAGCCCCTTCCCCTCCCCTGTTACGAGGCAGGTGCCACTGAATGATGAAAACTTGCTTTATTTCAGCCTCCCCACTCAGCCCCCAAGCCAGAGCTTTCCAAAACCCTTTCCCTGCAGGAGTTCTAATAATGCCTTTTGCAGCCACCGTAATTAGCTGTTTACCCCCCAAACATTACTTTTTTGGCACAACTCTTCCAAATTACCTCACCCACTTTCCATGCAGGAAAATTTCATGTTTGGGAAACTGGATTATTGGAGGATTTACTTCTCTCAGGCAGGGAGAGTGGCTCTCAGCCTGCGGGACAGCTGCTGGGAGGGCTGCGGGAGGAAGGCTCCGCTCCAGCCCGGCTCCTCCTCCGGCAGGATGGGATGGGATGGGATGGGATGGGCTGGGCTGGCTCAGAGCAGCAGCTGCCGACTCTTCTCGTATGTCCCCAGGAAGATGAAGCCTCCCAGGCTGATGGCTGCCATCCGTGGGACAACACCTGCGAACAAGCTGAAGGCAGAGGGAAGGAGCTTTGAGAGACGAGCGGGGAGCGGATGCAGGGGCTTGGGGAAGCAAAGCCAAGGAAAACTCTCCCTTGCTGGTTTCTTAAATCCCACCCCACTGCTCACTGCAGGGATCTGTCTGGACTTCCCTAACACAGCACTCCCAAAGCTTGTGGTTTGTAACCCCTCTCCACACTCCTCAGGTGCAGAAGGACAAGGCAGAGGCCATCGTGGACCACTGGGACGGGGAACTCAATCAATCCCATGGCCACAAAGAGCTGCACACAGGTGGGAACATCCTGTCCCCAATGCCCCCACAGCCTCTCAGGGCTGCCCCTTGCACAGCCAGCCCTGCTCTCTGCAGTGCCTCATTCCCAGGAACACACAACAGGGAGGGAGCAGAAATGTTCCATTGTGGCACCTTCAGCTGCCACCCTTTCAGGTGCCTGATCTGCACAGCTCTTCAAAATTAACAGGACACTTGTGCAAAGCCAATTGCTTGACACATCCAAGCTCACAGTTGGTTTAACAACTTCAGGACAGGCCAGTGCCTCCTCCCAGAGGATTACAGGCTTCCTTTGTGGCAAGCAAGGATTAACTTGAATCCATTTGGCATCCCACCCCCCTTCCAGATCCATCCACTGAGCCTGGCTGAGCTCCACTGGGATCCTGTCCCTGGCTGTCCCAAGCACTGCTGAGGGGGTGTCCACAGTGGAACAAGCTGTAATTCCTGGTGAGACCGGGCTGCTCAGGAGCTCCCTGCTCCCGCTGCACAGGGAAACCTCTGGCAGTAATGAGCTCTGCTAAGGAGCCTGGAGCACACAGGCAGATGGAAACATTTTATGGCTTTACTAGACAGCAATTGGGCCTATTACCATAATGACAGCTTTAAAACAGAGTAATTTGTACAAGGCATGTATGGACAGGGCACTGATAGGGCAAATCCTAGGGAGCAGCACACAGCATCCCTCTCCTGCCGAATTAGGGAGCCTCATTACGGGAGCAGGGGCAGACATTTGTTTCCAGAACAGCCCACTCGAGACACAGCTATTACACAAACAGGGGCCCATAACTGAGTTACCCAGAAGCTGCATCCCTGGCAACCCCCATTACCAACCATCACTTCCAAGAATCCTGGCCCTGCTTCTCCCAGTTTCCTGTTCCCACCTGCCAGGCCATGCCTCCCCCATGGGCTCCCTCTCTGCGTGAGGGCAGAGCTCAACAGCTGCAGGGAGGTCCCAAATCCCACGAGCTCTGTGGCAGGTCTGATCCAACCTGCTCCCTGCTGGACCACGCCTGCCTCCATCAGCAGATGAGACAAATTGGGTTTATTTCTGCTGGCCCCATCAGAAACTGCTCTGGTGGGCAGAGGTCTGCTGTTCTAGCTGGATTTGGTCTGTGTCTGCACTCTGCCACTCCTCAGCTCCTAACAGGACCCTGCAGTTACCCTTTGGATCATTGAATCATTTAAGCTGGGAAAGGACAAGCCCAAAAAAACCCAGCATTACCAAGCCCACCACTAACCCATGTCCCCAAGCACCACAGTCACACATGTTTTAATTCTACCACTTCCCTGGGAAACAGGGCAAGGCAGTGCAAGGCCTGGACACAGCACAGAGGGGCCAGTGCTGAATAAAGCACTGTATGTAACTTGCAGCCCAGTGCTGGAGGCTTTCTCCCCCCTGCTTGGCTGCCAGGTGAAACTCCCCCAGAGATGGGACCCCTCTCTATTCCCCAAAGAGAATTCTCCCTGCTCTCCTCCCCTCGAGGGGCTGCTCAGCCACAGAGGTTTTCTCTGTGCATGTGCTGTTACTGCTGAGGCATGTGCCCTTCTGGTATTTTTCCACTGAAATCCAGATTCATAACCCACACTTCAACAAATAAAACTAAACGATGTCGAGGGATTGTTATTTCAAAATTAAATCAGTACCTCACATGTGCCAATTCTGCTCTGGCTGGGAAGCTCATGGGAGGAACAGGACACCTGGTGCAGCACCACCACTCTACACAGGCCACCTCACCAGCATCACCATTCAATAACCCTTGTGTTTCTCACCAATAAATTGTGAAGCTTCATCCATGGCTTTCAAAACCTCTATCTCCTTGTGAGAAAAGCCACCAGCCAAGATGCAAACCCCCTTTTCTGTGAATGATTCCTCCGCTCCTCTGGCAAGAGCAAAGAGGTTCACAGATCCACTCACCCCATCCCTATCCTAACCCTGCCAGTCCTGGCTCTCCCTTGACAGAAAGGGATGTGGAATTTCTTGGCATGGAGCAGAGGCATTTACTAGGTGCAGACCAGGAAGCTGAGCCCTGTGCTCTGGTTTTAATAAGGTGGCAATAAGCAATGCGTCTTTCTGCCCTCAGAATTCCTCCTCTTCAAGTACGAGATTTATTAGAGGAGCCATAAATCATGTCATGTTGGAACTGGCCAAAAAAGCCCGACATTTTTATTGGTTTTGATTAATAGATTTATA